CGTTTGACTTTCATACCTGTGGTTACTAGCCAAGTATTAGCTTTTTCGCCCAAATTTACCCGGACTTTACCCGCTCCCAAGCTCGATTTTCCAAAATCCACTCTGCTTTGTGTCTATTCTCCAAACTATTATTTTTTGAATAAGCAATATCGTGATCTTTACATGCAGCGTCTAATGGGTTTATACCAGCATCACCCCTCTTAATTCTTTTGTCTAATTTAGTACCGGGACCACAGTACTGGTACCCCCCTAATAGGTGTGCATCGAATGGTAGTTTATACATTACTGAATTTAATAACCCGCCACCACCTTTTCTTTCATTATTTTTAAATGTTAACATGTTTCAACATTTAAATGCCATCTATTAGTAAAATATTAAATTATATGAAATTTATTTTTTGTTACCTGCACACAACTTTTTATAATAATAATTACCTCTTGAGATGGCGCTGTAAGCCATTTATACTAAAATCATGTAAAATATTTTTGAAATTTCACAAACAACCCTACTTGAGATATGTATGATTAGGGGCCACCTGGTGGGGCTCCATGGGGGTTACGCCTTGATGGGGGACCCCGGAGCACCATCTAGAGATATCTGGGAATCCAAAATGGCGGTCTTTGTAGCTAGGTGATACCGACTAATAATAGATTTCTACTTTACCAACAATACATACAGGGTCGGATTTAAACTTAGTGCCGCCCCTGGTCACTGTTGAAAATGCCGCCTAACAGTAAAATTTTATATAAATTTATAGTTTTGATATCTTATTTTTTTTTAAATTAAAATAGCTAATTTATTGCAGAAAATTTATTATACATACTTCAATAACATAAAAAATATTTTTTCTGTTCTATGAATTATAAGTTTTGCATTAAGGGCGACTCATAATTGTAATTCTTTAATTTTTTTACAGGCAAACACGCCTTACTTTTTGAATTGCAAATTGGTCGATTAAATAAATCTTCACAATCTAAACGTTGAAGTACCTCTGATTCGATGCTTAGAATATATAGCTATATATATATAGAATATAGATATAGCTAAGCTATTGAGTCTTTTTGCACTCATTGTTGAACGTGTAGTTTTTAATTCTTTTCAAACATGAAAACGATCGTTCTACGCTAAAGTTTGTTACAGCTAATGAAATGAATATTCGATATGCGATTTCCACGTTCGGAAACTCAGTGTAAAGGTCGTTTGCATACAAAAGTTTCAAAATATAGTAAGGTAAATTTTGTTTTATCATTTTTTTGCCGCCCTAAAAAATTTGCCGCCCTGGGCACCAGCCCCGACTGCCCCTAGTGTAAATCCAGCGCTGAATACATATGTTATGAGCAGGGCGCTAGGTGCATCATTTTTATGAAATCATAACCAAAAATATCTTAATAGGGGGCCTCATGGGGGTTACACCTTGATGGGGGCCACGGAGCACCGTCTAGAGATATCTGGGAATCCAAAATGGCGGCCCCCGTGTAGGCACCAAGCAAGTAGCGAAACCATGAGGCAGCCATGGAAACTGATGTTCTGAAAGCGGCTTTGTCTTTCTACTAAAGTCTAATGTTATACGGCATGAAGCCCTGACATATTAGAAACAGGTCAACTTACTGATAATATTCCACTAAGAGTTCTCTTTGATTTAGTGTTGGTTTTCGGACTCACAATTGATAACATGACTGTTCATTGAAAAATGCAGCGGTTTTATAGACGAAATTCTGGTGACAGGCTTGATGAAAAACAATTGGGGCCGTGTGAAATGACATCCGTCACACGAGCAGTGTATAACAAATTTTGACAACTCTCAAAGCGCCATCTGTTAGAGTTTAGTCTAATTGCAGGTTGATTTGATTGATTGATTTGAAGGGGAGCCTTTGCAGGCAGCACTTAGGCACACATACGGCCCATTGTGCAAACCCCCTTTTGGTGAAGCTCTGCCTTACCTTACGAGCCCGCGCTAATTGGTAGTCCAACTCTTTCCCTGACGTCGGGTAGTTAGGAGAATCATCTCATATATGTCGTAATGTGCATCGTTACAATATCCGCGAAATAGGAAAAGTACTAAGGCTTACAATTATCTTCTTTCATTTCAATTTTTAATCCACAATTGTCGACCCGAATGACAATTGTCGATCAAAATGACAATTGGCGACCCGTACGACTATTACCTCAGTAAGAAGTTAACTGTGTTGGTGAAACGTCAGTTCGTTTGGGGTCCACATTCATAAAAATTTAAACCATTTAGATCTAGCAAATCTGTGCCTTGACAACTTTTAGGTAGGCAACCCATGGGCGATATGTTTGTTTAAGGGTCATCTTTTATAAAAAATACCTTTCATCAGGAAAACCTATGAGGTCAGGTCGACCTAAGTCCGGATCTTGGACTAAAAGTTTATTTACATACTTGGCAGATACTTGTTTTTTTTTTAATATATATTTATTTTTGCATATTAGTGTTTAACACCATAACATGTGTTTTTTTGAAAATAAATTAGTAAAATATTTTTTTTAATGGTTCTCAGCACCAGAAACAATTTACATTTACATTGTATTCAAATTGCTTGCTATAAATTTAAAATTTCAGTCCTTAATGTACAATATAAATTGATTGCATCTGTTGCATTATATTTATTTGGTAAATTAAGGTTCTCAGAGAATACAGTCGCAAAGAATTTTTATATCTTTATCAAAAAAGGGTACTTGCTTATGACCTCTCTATCTCTTTGTATGACGTTGATCCAGTGGCGTAGCTACCGGGGCAGCAACTGCTTCCCGGAGCCAGCAAGGTTTAGGCGCCTTCACCCCTTTAGAATTATACAACATAGCGCCTTCATCTCCTACAAATCCTTTATGTTTTTAATTCTTTATGTTGTAAACCCAATGCCGCCTGCCGAAATGTTTAAACCCTACGGCTGCGGGCAGAGCTGTCAGAAAAAAGTATCTTAGTTACTTTAGAGTAACTTAGTTACTTTAAAGTATCTAAGTTACTGTATCTTAGTTCCTTTATTTTTTTAACAAAAAGTATCTAGTATCTTAGATATTTTTTAAAAGGAACTGTATCTTGTAACTTAAAAAAGTATCTTAGATACCGAAAAGTATCTTAGATACCAAAAAGTAACTTAGATACCAAAAAGTAACTTAGATACCAAAAAGTATCTAAGATACCACAAGAAAACTTCCTTTAGTCAAGTTGTTCGAAACGGCCGCGGCCATCGAAGTTATTATAATAAGTATACTGGCGACTTCAGCGATTGGCGCCAATCGACTGGCGGCGTTTTTTGTTATACCTACTTAATTTTTATTCACCTATACCTACTTCTTTTATAATCTGTGACTTCGCCACCCGCTCTGTAGAAGGGTGTTTCCGTTCGTTGCGACTTGAATTTATAGTGGTAAGTCTGAAATAAGTTAGGTTAGGTAAGTACTTACACTTGCTTCTTTATGATGTACTGATGTAGGATATTGGTTGTTACATATACAATACAATATTGTACCGTACATTCTATAATGTTCAGTGTATGTTTTCCATTTTAAATTTTAAAAAAATGTTAAAAAAGATTAAATGAAAAGTGTGAGATAATTTTTTTATTTTTATAATTAAGTGGTGTTTAATTAACGATTTTATCTCTTTTTATTTTTAAGATATTTTAAAAGTGCCTAAGTTAGACACTTTTTGCATTAGACCCTTCAATGGTTTTAATCAACTAGATTTTATTGAAAAAAATTGTTAAAAAAGTAAGTTTAAAATTATTTGAAAAATTAGGGTGGGGTTGGAACGAATTTTTGTTGGGCGGTTTATACCAAACTTATTACATAATATACAAAGTAACTAAAAAAGTATCTTATTAAGTATCTTAAAAAGTAACTTAAGATAAGTATTTAAGTTCCTTTTTTTAAAGAGTAACTAGATACCCAAAGTAACTTCGGATACTTTTTCAAAAAGTAACTTATCTTGTATCTAGATACTTTTTAAAAGTATCTTTGACAGCTCTGGCTGCGGGCCAGAGGACAGACTGAGCAGTAAACAAAATTGACCTCCCATAACCTAAATTTGGTTATCAATGATGCAGTAAACGGGGTTTCAATTCCTGTAACTACTGCTTCTGCGGGGGATCGTTTTCAATATTAAAAATTATTTGAGGGGTACCTACTATGTCGCAATAAAGACTTAGGAGCCTGGCTCTTTTGAGCATTAAAAACGAAAATACATCTATTGCAATCAGGGTTCACCAAATTTGGTGATTTAATATAAGCGCCTGGTGTTTAATGATTTTTTTACTATTTTATTACAAATCTGGTGATTGGTGTATTTTTAGACATAGGCTTAAAAATTGTTAATTTTTTGATTAGGGTATTTTGTTATATTTAAATTTGTTTACTATGAGTATAATATAATAATTTTATATAAATATAGTTATTATACTATTTTTTAGATTTTGTTAATTTATATTTAGTATTATCTTTTTTTTTGTAAACTTCATAATTGTTAATTGACAATATTTTTTTCTTTTGAAACTTGTATTTTATTTGTTTGTAATGTTTTTAAACATTTTTAAATATTTATATTTATATTTTTCCATTAGTTTTGGCATTGTAAAATCCTACACAAAATAATTCAAAAATCCAACGTTTTATAATAAAATAATTCCACGTATTTCCAACGTGTTATAATACAATAATTCCACGTATTTCCAACATTTTATAATACACAAAGCCGACGTATTTGAAACGTTTTATAATAGATAAATCCCACGTATTTCCAACTTTTTATAAAACCTAAATTCCACGTATTTTATAACATTAGACACTTACCTTGTCTTATACGTTCACACACGTTATAAACTGGGACATTTCAACATAAAATTATACAAACAAGTTTTTCAACGTAGGAGAAACGTTATTTCTACCTAAAATTTTTACTAGGATGTTATAGGATACAATATTTAATATTATTTTTTATAGTTACCTACTTTAACCGGTTTGTGAAAGAAAGCATACAGCATAAAAGGAAAAACCCAAATATATTTTAACAAGTATTTAAACCAAATATTTATTAACAAACAGCTTAATATTATACAATAGATAATTTTATATTTTTGGGATCTTTAAAATGTTGTTTTTTTTGTTCGTCGAATAATGCTTTTAAAGCTTCTATAAATTGGGAATGGACGTCATCTATGTCTTTCTGTGTTGGATTAGAATTTTTCTGTAGATTAACGGGATGGCCAACTAAAAAAAAATGCACACATTTAAATTATACAAGGTGGCCCATTACTAAGGGGCCTTACAACAACAGGAGATAATAGACTTAAAATATGTCATTTATGCTTAATTTCTAATAATAAAGTATCCATGGTTAAAGAGATACAGGATATGGCGATGATGATTTGGTGTAATTATAATTTTTAGGACAAGAAAGACGATTTATCTATAGGACAATAGTTACACAATATAAGTTTGGTAATATAGTCTCGTATTTTTTGTCTCATATTTCTGAAAAATAAAATTAGTATGAAAGAGGGGTAAAAAAGTTGTAATTTATTAATTTTAATTAGTTTTTGGGATATTAACGTTTAAATATTGCAACAATCTTAAAAGACAAATAGGTATTGGACGAAGGCGGCTGTGTCATCGTGACAATTGCTGTTGTCATTAAACTTTGTAAGGTACGTGTCAAGGTGACGGATTGAGGATTTTGGGTATACCGATATCTGAGTTAATAGACATGGGACCCACACCAAACTTATATGAGTTTATATTGACATTAAATAGAAAAGTTCAGCGCAAGCAGAATTTAAATTGAAGTTTTCAAAAAAAAGTTAGTTTTCCAGCCCGCTTCACCAGCCCCCTGCCACCCCTAATTAGGATTATTTAAATTAAATTGGTGCAATTCATAATTCACTTCATTCAAGTTTATCGACAAATTTAATATAATGTATATGTTTATAATGTCATTATAAACTCATATAAGTATGGGTCCCATGTCTGCTAACTAAGATATCGGTATACCCAAAATCCACAATCCGCCACTGATTGTCACGTGTCATTTTAGAGACCCAAGAGTGCGTTCGAAATGATAGTGTACCTTGGATATGGTATAAGGATAGGTATATAATCACGTGACTTTACATTATTTCTAACCTCCTTGTTATTTTCGAACGCCGCGGAGCATATACCTATAAACTTTATGTTGTAGTGTTATAAAATCAATTGGTTTTGCTTGTTATTTGACTGAATACATATAAATATTAAATTATTGAATTTCAACCCTTTAGTTATATGGATTATTCAAGTTTTTGTGATGGAAATTATATGAAGGTAAATACAAATTATTGTTTCATGTACCCTATGCGCATGACGGGTAAAACTTAACCAAGTCTAAAGCTTGGACAACCGAGAGTGCACTCTGGAACAGCTGACAGTTGCATATCTAGGTATATACCAGAGAATTCGAACGCGCAAGGTAAACTGTGTATCCATAGTGCACTCTTGCGAGTTTTCGAACGCGCTCCAAAAGTATATATGTATATGTATATGGAAGTATAATTATATGGATCATCCATATAATTATACTTCCATATAATTATACTTCCATATACATATACATATATACTTTTATAATGGATGTATATAGTATATGGAAGAAGAAGAGAAGATTTTGGAAATAATTTACCGGCTGAGTTAAAATTGTGTTAATTTATCTTAAACAAGAAAAATTCCCAGAAAACCAAGGTTTGAGAAAGAAATTAGTCAATTTTTCCCCAATAAGTTTGGTGTACAATATTTTAAATTTATTGGGGTTTATTTGGACATATAAATTATCATTGTCGCCAAGTTTGACCAAAAATTCAAATACTTTATGCCAATCATTTTCCAACGCGATAGCTCAAAAACTGCATAAAAATAAAGACTTAAATATAGTTATTTTTGGCAAACTTAGTTTGCAATGAAGTTAAAAATTGGCATATCTTTTCGAGTATATAAATAATTTAATATTCGGGTTACCTAAACAGCTGTTTTAATAACAACACTTTATGCAGGTTATAAAATTTAACAATGCAATTAAGTTTGGTTAAAAATTGGTATAACTTTTCGAGTACCTATATAAAAAAATCAATATTTAGGTTAAACAGTTGTTTTAATACCAACAACACTCTCTGCAGGTTATATAATTTAAGACTTTCTGTGTAAATTTAAACAATTAGTATGTTCTGTTCAAAAAAGCGTGAAAAACGTGCGTTATCTATTTAAAAAAAATATAAAATCATCTGTGTAGTTAAATTTGTGTTAAGTTTTAAACAACAAATTTTGTGTAGGTACTAAATACGTACTGTTGTTCCCAAAAATTAATTATCCCAAAATGCTTTGGCATTTTTTTTGGGCACGATTTGATCGTTTATTGTTGGCCATCGCGATTGCTCAAGAAACGTAGGAATATAAAGTCGTATCTTGTACATTTTTTTACAAAACATTCCCAAAGGCGAAAGGACAATTATTGGCCAAGTTTTGACCTGATATGCATATCCCACAATTAATGCAGACTTGTGATAAAGGGGTACCAATAAGTACTTGTCAAACTTTTCAATCAAACATCGTAATTTTTTATTTCTTTATTGATTTATTCTACCTTTATTTTAATTACATCTGCAGATTATTTTATGTATTCGAATTTTATGGTCCTGCAATACGTTGTAGAAGAAGGTTAAGGATTATCCCAAATATTCGCATAATGTTCATCCTTTGGTACATACAGTCCAGAAAGAATACTACAAACACCTACGTATATAATATACAAAAATAATTTAACTACCCTGCTAGAAATTAACTTTTACCTACATTCAGACAACGTTGGAAATTTGTATAATAATTTGTTATACTCGTGACGTTATTTAAGTGTATGATTTTAAGTGTGAAATACGTAATGGATGGAAACGTTATTTAAATGTTTGATTTTAAGTGAGAAATACGTAGTTAAAACCTTGGCTGGAAAACATTGGGCGAATGTATCGCTAAAAACTTTGTTCACGTTTTAAACTTTTTTAAGTTCCAACTAATTTTTTTTTGTCTATATAAACATTAGTTATAAAAGTAAAATCATACTCTGCTATACATTTTTTAATGTAAAAGTATCAAAAATACAGCCAAAATACACAAAACCTAAATTTAGCTCCATAAAAGTCTCGATTTTTTTAAGGGATTTTTTTAAATCTTTTTTTAAAATTATTTTTTATATAAAAAACAAATAAATAAAGCCCCAAAATAAATTTCAAGAAAAATATTGTGTAAAATAAAAAATAACATTAAAAATTAATAAATTTACTGTCCATGTTTAAATTTTACATCTTCTTAGTCAATAGGTTCAATAAAATAAAATTTTATCGTAGTTTGGTGATGAAACAACAGAGATTACACGGAACAAACCAGTAAAATAGTTATTTACGATATAAGTGAGATACGAGCTTTATTAACGTACGCATGCAAAATTTGCTCAACGAGTGCGTATACGCTATAGCACGAGTTGGGCAATCGCAGAAGTGGGATTATTGTATAATTTTGAGTAGGATTTTACACTGCCAAAATTAATGGAAAAATTCAACATATTTAAAAACATTACAAAAATTTATATTTTCACAAAAACACTGGGCAGAATTTGCACAAAATTTGGCAGGATGTCAACACTAACCTAATAAAATAAACACTTTATGCCATAAACATAAACAGCAGTGTCACTTAGGTAAATACGATAAGTTCACTTCGCACACATAAACGAGTACAATACGAGTAAAATTAAGCTTTCGACAACTTCGGTATCGAGCGCAGGGTTGTATTAAGAATTATCTAGTGTTTATTTAAGATTTATGTATTGTTTATTCAAGATTTATCTAGTGATTTGTCAGTGATTTAGTGATTTTAAATATGGGTTGTGTTATGCGTTGTGCAGCTAAAGGCTGCCTGAATACATCTCGAAATTTTTATACTATTCTGATACTGATCGGTAAGTACTATTTTTTTCTCTTTTAAACCTCATTTAATTTTTACGTTAATAATTAATAATTATATTTTAACAATATTAAGTTTTTAAATTCACTTAATTAATTAATATTTTTAAACGTCTAATTTATGTCATAAACATAATATATAATATAATATAATATATAATAATCTTTCTATATCTTTTTGAATTAAAACCACAAGTATTTTTGAATGTTTAATTTTGTTATTTTTGAAATATATATTATTTTCTTATCTAATCTTATCTGATTTTTAAATAAAATCCGCAAGTATTATTTATAAATATTTTATTTATGTTAAATACATAATATTATTTTTACTAATTCATTTAAGATTTACTAATTTTTTTGCATTCAATCCGGCAAAAAGTCTTTTTGTTTGTCTATCAAATCGCTCATGGACGACAACAGTGGAAATTCCGAGATAATGACCGTCAAAGATTTTTAAATAATAAAATTATCACATATTTGTAAAATTATATTAACAGTAATTTCTTTGCAAAGGAAGAGCCACACTAAGATTCTTAGCCAGTTAAAAATTACATTTTAGAAAATACTCATTTTGGATACGAGCTATTTGTAGATATGTCTGTAGGTGTGCATCAATTTTGGAGATATGTCTGTGTTGCTGAAAATATGTGCATGCATTTTTCAGATATGTCTGACTTGTTAAAAATGTGTCTATAATTTTTTTAATTATTCATTCTTCTATTGTTAATTATGAATATGAGGAACGTATGGCTCGCCCCATCGGCAACGCCTTACACTGAATTCCCAGAGTTATTTTTACCCCCTTTCAGTTCTCCTACGTATCCCGCCACTGCACAGCATTGCATGTTTTTGATGGATCCGAATTTTCACCCCGGCTGGTAAATCTCGCCTAGGAGGTCGTGGATGACTGTGTCGATGGTTAAGGCCACTTCCGGAATTTTGTCGCCGGGCCGGGCCATGCGCCCGATTTAAGCTAGTGGAGTGCGGGCAAGGAGGGAAAACATTTTGGTTTTTGAGGGACATTGAACTGACCCAAAACTAAGTACAATCCGGAGTCAGGTTCATGAATTGGTTGGTTAGTACGCTGGAGGAGTACCGTGTCTCTATCCGAGTCGTATTCCGATCTTGCTGACTAACGATAACGTTGCCCACACTGTCCGGTTGTTTATTATTTCGTATAGAACGTAATGGTTCCCTTAAATGTGCTTAGTAATCTACAGATGTTTA